ATTTCTAAATGCAAATTATGTGTCTTGGTATCTGATGCCATCGAAAGCGTTGTATTGCCCTTTGTTTCGATTGGTGCTGTGTTCGATGTGTCTTCTTTTGTTTTCCTTTACTGCTCTTCACGTTACAATGTGAATACTACGTTCCATTGAAATCCATTGTAGTCTTAAAAGTGTAGTATTAAGTTGTCAATACTCGTCTGATCTGAACGCTCGAACTAACTAAAAATATACTACACATGTTCAGATAATTTCGCCACAATTGACAAAAATCAACATTATGGCAATGAACTCAAGGTATTCTTTTCATTTTTTTATTGACTTAAGGTTATTTTTTGTCAGATATGCAGATGTTTTGATCGCTTTCAACTTACATATAATTAAAATTTTTGATGTTAGGTATTTTTAGTTTAAAACGAGATTTCAGATAGTTTAGATGGACTTGTAATAATAATAATAGATAAATAATTTATTTGGCATCGAAGGCCCACTTGTTCGTAAAATACAGACATTTTTAAACTTTAGACTATTGTTAGTAAACACAGAGACAAAACATAAAAACACACATTATTACGCTCGAGGCACCGCCGATTACCCCATCACCTCACCAGGACCTGGACGAAATGACGAAGCGTCGGCGCATCGAGCTTAGTTTATTATATTGAACGCGCAGGGCGCCGAGTGCCTTCTGCACATAGTTAACCCATAGACCACCCGTGTAGAAGGATTGACAATACGCCTTGAATAAAGTTAATTTTTGATATGATTATAGTTAGTTAATGCTTATTATCCTGTGATTAGATAACTAAGTCAGTTTCACTATTCTGGTACTAAAGCCAGTTCTTTTCCAAACATGTTTTGCCGCAAATGGTTATAGACTTGTCATTCAAGACCAGTGTTACACAAGCTGTTATTGTATGGACGTTCAGCACGGAAGCGGCTCTTCCGTCGTGGCCCGCAGCGGCTATTGCGCTAATGAAGACCTCTTGTCCACCGGAGAGAGTGCATTGGTGGCGACTCCGCTGTAATTGCACAGCAATTAACCACCAACGAATTCAGTGTAGACTGTAGAGAGTGGCCTGCCCGCTCCACTTGTTATATGTTATAGCGTGGTACATGAAAGTACACGAAGGTGACTTTACGAGCGAAACGCTCCTAGTAAATTGAATGGCCAACTAAAAACCCTCTTTATGGTTCTTAAATAATTAATTGTTTGAGTTAACGCAAATGAGCACGCCCGTAAAATTGTTTAATTGAAAGTTGCTCACGTGGACTTGCTTAGATGTGAGAAAAATGTTGTATCGTTAGTCTTTGCCTATAATTTTAAAGTTTCTGCAAGATTTTATCATTCAGTGGATTAGATAAAAGTTAGTATGGCTAATAACTCAACTGTGACGAGTTGTACCTATGCATTGCGGTGTTTTTGTTTATTGCACAAAGTGTTCACTCTTTCCGAGTGGTGTTTGCGCTTTTGGACTTATTCTTTCTTCCCGAGACGATTTCTCCGTAAGAGATTTTAAAGAAGGTGAACTACAAATGAGTCTTATAAATGCTTACTTTGAAATAGCATTATTATTAATCCTATTATTAGAAATTCAGATATTTTTTAACCTTGATAGGAATACAGGTTCTTCCTTTGCTACGCAGTTTTTCACTTCGGTGATGTTAAATGATGTCATTACATTTATTTACATTGAGATAGGAGTCGATTAACTGGTACGAATGTTAATTAATTAAGGCGTAACGAATACATTAGCATATTTCGTAAATAGGTGTGCCAGCAATGAACCACAAAAATGACAGCAAATCGTTCCAGCATTAGGTTGAAATCGTACGATGTAACGGTAGTTTTGCTTCGAGCAACATTGCACTGTTCCAAGTCTGATATCATAAGGAACCTGAGCTCCAGGAACAGTTATCTGTTAAATGTGATTTATGAGAATGGTTTCTTGCCGTAGTTTCTGCTATTAAACACTAGTTTTAGCAGCTGAATCACGGAAGCCAAGCGTGTTTATGACTGTAACAAACAGTGCTATTCAAGGGAAGACTCTGGATTTAATTGGCCCTTAACGCTCTCTTAATTGTTTCGTGCCAAAACATTGAAAAGTGATAATTACGTTATACATTGTGAAGCAACCACAGCTTATATTAAGCTTCAAAAATCTCATTGACGCATCAGAGATTGCGAATTACCAAACAACCACCTCATTTGAAAAGTATGTGGTGTTGTTTTGTAAGTAATTCTATCGACTGTGAAAGACGGACGTAGAATTTATATCATTTACAACAGTGTACACAAATTGTTAATGGTGATAACATAAAGTAAGTCTCGTCGCACTGTAACTTATTTTGCATAATGCATTGTCCTTGTTACGGTCGTAGAGGTTGAACGTATGCGCTTGCAGTTTTCCGCTTCTGAACACGCATATTTTCCGATAGCAAACACAACTTAGATCGACAATGATCGCAGAAAATGATAGCGCATTAAGTGTTCTTTTTAAATGCGTTGAACGTCTGTGGTATAGCGCACGGAATTAGACACATTTTTTGTCACTTCTAATTTATACTCATCATGTTCGCCGTATCCGATGGAGTCATCGGCCGAATCACACAGAAAACAACACTACGCGTTATTTGTTTACGCTACGTCTGACGGGGTTTCAATCACTATTTGTTATTATAACTGAATGAGCACTTGCTTTACTTGATAAGTCTGAAATTAGTGTGGACAAAAATGAGGTACGAAATACAATAGAGAGAAAAAGGGCGGAGATAATTTGACGTTAGCGGTTCTCGTCTGAAATTGGAAGTGACATAAACATTTGTAATAGATACCGTATCACAATATTGTAGATAGCAGACTGTAGTTTCTCTTTATTATTGTGTTATGTACAGGTATATAAATGTTGCGTAGTGTGAATTTTCTTCTGCATTGTGATTAGACAGTTTGAATTTCTTCTTTTAACGCGAATCCATTGTTTATTGCAAATGGCTTTATCTACATACATATGTTATTCTACATCTGGGACCATTATCTTAAAAGGGCTCGCTTTATTATGTTTATCCAAAGTCTCGTGCTCTTGATGGAGCGTCACTCAGTTGTTTATAGCCGACGTTGGGCGCAAGTTGCTTCCTATTCGGGTATACGGACGGGAGTGTCGTCTCGGCCTATTTTCGTATCACCGGAATGCGCCGGCACGCGCCGACCTTTCTGCTCTATGATTTGTCGCCGTTCTGATGCTGTTATTGATAGCTTGAGACCTTGCACTTAATCGTTGCTTCTTGCCCCGCTATTCAGTGCAATGTATCGTCTTTTTTTAATCTTTGCTATGTACAATTATTTTCTCTTTAAATGCAACGGTGAATACGAGTTCCCAATACACTGGTGTTGGTTTTTGAGATGTTGCTTTTGTGTGTTATTCTATAGTATTAGCTGTAACTCTGATGTTAAGTGGATATGAACCCCTGCTTACCGCAGATTTCTCCCAATCAGTCATCTAAACTATCGTCTAACTATTAATTTACCATTCCACAATGAGAGTGATCCGCCCAGATGCGATACAGCGTGCGTGAACGCTTTCACACGTGCGTGATCACACGAGTAACAACGCTGTGACCCAATGGAATATCAAAGCACGCTTGTCTTCTAATGGCTCGCACGATCTAACCGACCTTGACACTGGTGAAACTCACCTAGGCAATGATTTAGCGCTGCTATTGTGTTTTTAATGCTTATACCACATTCCTAAACTAGGAAACACACTATGACTGTTCTCGTACAACGTTTGCCTACAGAATACGATGGTAATGATGTAAACGCGAAGCCTTTTCGCGTATTTTTGACATGTTTAATTGCTCTTTCTAGACTTCGACTATCAAACTCGTAGTCTTGAGAAGAGGACAATGTTCTTTTACAACAATGTTGTGTACTTGATTTCGTGTGTATAGTTTTTCTCTTGTTCAATTGACATGCGATTATCAGCGATCTAATCAAAATACTGTTTATCTAGGCCACCAGTTGGCGACCAATATCGAGCTACCTGAACCTCAGGGCTCAGGCAGTAAATCATTCCATGAAATGCGAATAAACGATCACTTCTACTTGATTGGCCTCATTCATGAATCTCAATTACTTGACGACGTTTGGGACATCTGTTTGTTCTAAAACTTTCAAGTCCATCGCGCTGCAATTGCGGTTTAATGTTCTCAATTGATACACGCAATAAACTATTGGCAAATTAGGACATGCCTCGCTTGGTAGGTACCAGTTATTGATTAATGCGTTCACAATAAGCGGACGTGGCCATAATACAGACAAGAATTGTCGCAGTCGCAAGCGCAATGCCCATTCAACTGTTGTGTTAAGTACATCATTTGGCTACTCTTTTCAGTATCAAAAGAAGCTATTAAAGAGCGCTGTCAACTGCGGTCGTTCCAAAGGCTTTTATCTAAATAGAAATATCTATTAGTCAATCATTCTTAGAAACGTCTACGCTTGGATAGTTGTTCCACGAGTCCTGACTTAAGTTTCAAAAATAATCAACAGAGGTTAAACAGGTTCTTTTAATAAATAGCCTCATCTATACTCTTTGACGACATTTTATATATTGAATTAATTTCCATCTGATAACTGACAAAACTTTTCCTCAGAGCTGGTAATGAATTTAGTAAAATTGCATCTAGTATTTTGATATTAACACACAATACAGGCTTTATAAAGTCCATGTTACTTGACAACTTCCTTACAGAACCTACCGAGGAACCTACATCCAACTTCCTTACAAAGTTCCATCGTTTATGTTTTCGCAACATGGGTATAATCATGCCATGAAATTTTTAACGTAGTTCTTTTTTAACTAATTGTATATTGTACAGAGTTTAATAATAAACCAAATAAAATTCTACTGTTGCGCAATAAAAAGTTTAAAAATTGTCTTAACAGCTGAATTTTGTTGTCCAATTAACTAAACGACCGTGTATAACCATCATGTTCGTTGTTGCAGTCGAAACAGCGAGCGTCGATCAAATGGCTGCTTGCGAAGGCGTTCAACAACAGGGTCCCGGAGAATCTTCAAGAGCCGTTCTATAGGGATCATGAGGTCAGTACCAATTGCACCATTCCAAATGTGGACTACTATCAATATTTCTAAATCCACATGTGACTCGTTAGAGACGTTATGAATTGCCGAACTGTTCATTGTGCTTCATTAAAATTTTCTTTTTGAAAATGACGGTCGACACCTTTTTATAAATATATTAAGATACGTCTAACATTATACAAAACGAACACGCCCGAGACGATATGTCATAACCACTGGTGATTGTAATTTCATTGAGACTCCGCGAGATATTATAATTATAATAGTATTTGTTATTCTGTTAAAATCTAGCTGCAATGGCATTTGAGTCTGTTAGTGTGTCAGTGAAATGGTAGGGATGGCGTTACTAACGATCGATGTTGCTTTACTAAACCTGCCATGAAAATTACAATGCATATCTTAATTTTTATCTCGTTTGATCATCAATCAAGCGTTAAAATTGTATGTTTAATGTATTTTTATAAAATAAAACTCGATAATCTATATAAACACTTCAATTGTAAGACACGTCAGATAAATAATTAGTAAACTACACCGTTGGCGAATACCAACAACTTGCAGAGGCAGTTGAATAGTAGCTCAACGGCTAGCCATTGATAATCTTCTTTAAGCAGAGTACTAAACATAGAAAATCCTGCTATTGATCTATCGACGATTAGGTAAAAATACTAGGCTAGGATGTTCGTAATATATTCTTATTGGTTTTGGAAACGTAGAGCGAACGACTATACACCGTATGTTGCTTTCCTGAGGTGTTTTTTTCATGTGATAGTAAACAAACTTATTATAACCTTTATCGAAAAAGGTAGGCGTTAGATTTGGCTCAAGTCTTATAACCATGAAAATATTGTTTGCCGACGCTTATGTCATAGATGTGTATAATTTGCATCTTTCCCTGTGTGTACCATGTCAATATTACGTTAACGTTCAATAGTGTGAGAATGTAGCTTTCTTCACACTCGTCTGCATGTATGATTGTATGTTTATTTCACAAGGTTTTATGACTTGTTTGTTTAAAAGTGCATGAGTTACATGTACGAGAGACGACTTGAAATGAAAAATGACGGTCTCATAGTGCTTATATAAAGCGTTTTTGTTCTAAAGTCTTGTTCAATGGAAATTGCTGAAGGCATGCAACAATAGTTTGTCATTATTTCATTGTCACTTTTGTTTATTTTGACTGTTAGTTTTTCGACCTCTTCAAAGAGGTTGACGAGTCCGTAGACGTCGAGATTCGGAAAGTTCTGATTTCAGATTTCAAAGATGATAAAGATTCCTTCAGTTCTCTCGCTTCTAGTAAGAATGAATGGATGTATCTAATCTTTTCTAGAAACAGGATAATTTTATTATTGATTCAGTTCTGCATATTGACGTAGTTAAATTATGTTCATGAATAACTCTTTAAACATTTAACGGGGTCGGGTTACAGTCTCCATTAAGGCACCGCGCAACGTGTATCTTGTGTTGGATACAAGCAACCGGCAACTAGAAGCCGATTAAGGAGAACCGGCAACTAGAAAGAGATGGTTTAGGCCATATTCCGCCATGCTGGTCCAGTGCGGGTTGACAACTTCAAATGTCTTGTTTCCAAGGTTTGTGAACTTTCTCTAGATATGCAGGTTTTAGGACGACATTTTCTGTCACTGTTAGCGAGAGGTATTGCAACTGAACAATCTCAAATGTGTAAATATTTTACAAGCAGTAGACATCCTTGCGGAAGAGTTCGTCCAGAGAAGTGCTCTCATCATATCCATTTCTTCCAATTAACATTACTGCTTTCCGATTTTGAAGGGTAAGGACGCTGCCGCTGGTGAAACTTCAGGCACATGGGATTTGTCGACTTTATATCTCAGGTTGCGAGGCGTAGTAGTAGTGCCCCTTAGATATTTGCTGATTGGCACGACCTATTTATCTCGTCACTTGGTATAATTTAAAAAATGTTACGTACATTTTACACTTAGAAATTAAAGTCACAAGTCTGTCGTTTTTTCTGTTGGTCTCAATGTGCAGCAACCGTTTTTCTACATGTTATCATTGCTGTGTGGTTAAATACCCAATTTCGACAATTTCTAATAGTGTAAAGTCTTTGCAAATCAATACGGTACAAACCTATCGTTGCCACGAGAGCGTAAAATTTACGAAGTTATACATATGTGTACTTAATTCCGTAAGTGTATCCTCTGGATTTCAATCCAATATGTGTCCGCTAAACGCCCGTGTACCTTGTGAAATATAAATGACTTTCCGTGAAACAGTCCAGGTGTGTTCCATTTGTTTTTGGGTAGGTTGATGAAGTATTCTTTGCTATTTGGGAATTCTGTTGCTGTATCACCAACTTTGTTATTTATCTCGTGACATCGGTACCGTCAAAACTTCCGTTGTTAACCTCTTGTTTTTCTTAACGGAAACATTAGTACGTCGCTGTAAATAAAGAGCACGCGCTGAAAACAACGACAAGCACGGAATACTGTCACTTTTGTACACATTTTATATAGTTTAGATTCAAATTTAAATGTACTTGTTTATGTCGCCTTTTTCCTTTTTATTTTCATTGTTTTCTCTGTCCTCGTTCGTACCTTTGTTTGTTTTAATAAACAGTGGGTACATTTTCTTTAATCTTGCCCACTCTTATTAACACCCAAACCCCATTGATACAGTCCGCTACAGTACCCAAACATGTATCAAAACATTGATGTGTGTCGATGAAGTGAAAGATGTGTGCCAGGATCGTAACAAATGGAAAACTGTGGTTCCTGCGTACCACGACAGGAAAAGGGCGTGAAGTGTGTAAGTATTGATTGGAGGCTCAACAGACAGAAGCCCATAACACATAAACCAACATCATTCATTTAAATCAATATATCAACTGGCTAATGCATGTTGGTGAAATTCATTTGTTTCAACTTAAATTATAGTGTTTTTTTTAACACTTATCATTCTATTCACATCGTCCGACATTATAAACAACGTCGAACAACAATGTTTGTTTATTTTTTTGAGTAGTGTGCTTAAATCTGCCGACCCTATAATTCACATCAGAAGTTAACATCTAGAGATGTTCATTATCACTTACATCAGTAGCACCTTGGCCAGTATTTATAAACAGCTCCTGAGTCCGAACAGTAGCTTAAAAATGACGGTTTCAAGTTTAAGAAAAATTATCTATTGAATAAATGATTATTTGACGTTGACTGTCCGGTATTAACTACATGACATCTCTATATTCAGATTTTTCCTGTGCTAATAGACATCTGCATCTCGGATGATACCGTCACATCGCCAAGACCTTGTGCACTTGATTGATTGGCAATTTATAACGGTCTTGAGTCGTAGATAGTACCGAACCATTGTTATTAATGAGCAGTAGTTTTGATTTTAAATTCTCAATTTGTTTTTAGATTATTTATGATTAGGTTACAAAGGTCCATAAATACATAACTTCTAGACTAACATACATAATAATGTAATAAAACACTATTTGTTTACACGTATGGACTATGACGTGTCACGCAACGTGGATGTCCGGTAAACCGCCCTCAGAAACGTCGTATGGTGCGTAATCAGTGAAGAAGTAGAGTTTCCGTGTTAAAGAATTAGTCCAGGGAAGCACTGTCACCGTAACTATTTTTGCCGCCAGGCAGTAACAGGTGGAGCGCCCCTCAGGTCTTTGCGATTTAAAACTCTGACGAGCACTGCGATGTTGTGGACGCACGCAGGCGCACGATTTATTCGTCCCGTTATTAGATATCATAAAAAAGACTTTAGTAAGATCTTATAAGTATATTTATACCGCACTTGAGAAGTATTTCATAATAACAACCTGAGTATGTTTGAATTCACATGGACCTAAACAAATATGAAATTAAGTAACTTTGTTTGACTGGTGTTTCTTATTAGATTTGTTTTACGACAGTGTAATGTATTTAGATATGAAAATCTCGTATTCAGCCATTGACTTACAAATAAATGGACGACGGGTCTAATACAAAAACCACGAAAAAATGTCCCAAGTCAACCTATTCGAAATTTAAATTGTTATGTCATCGCAGTATCGCGCTGTCCGTAGAACAAATGAAGACTAAAGCGGAGTGTCGCGCTCTGTATACGATTTTAGCGCCACAACAAGTGCGGACACTTTTTAGCGCGGACCCGACGTCCATATAATTGTAAGTCAATGTATTCAGCGTCTTGATGCTGACTTGAAGCCACCGTATTTTATTTGTAGCAGTAGAGTTCCTTCTAAATGATTTCGTCCGAGGAAGTACTTATCTGTTTCTGCTGCTAAGCAGTAATGCTCACGTTACTGCACTCCGGTTTTGAAGGGTAAGGGTGGTGGTGAAATTACAGGCACATGGGACTTGTCAATTTATATCTCAGCGTGACGGGCACAGTGGCAGTGCCCCTAAGATCTTTTTTTAAGATTTAAAGCTCTACGTGGCAGTGCAAGTGTTATGGACAGGCGTGTCGCTTACCACCAGGCGCACGACTTGTTCGTCCCGTCACTTGGTATTATTAAAAAAAACCCTCTACTTGGCTTTGAAAATTAGTGTCCTTAGGGAACTTAAGCATATGCTGAGTCAGCGCCCTTTCCCTGCTGTGATAAAAATGTTTTTATTTTTCTTTTTATATAAAACTGTATATGTGTCATATTAGCGAAAGTGTTTATCTAATATAATTATTTTTGTCGTGTGTACGATATTTTGCGTAATTACTATGGTCATTGTGCTAAGACTACATTGAATTAACAAAAAAAAACAATGAACTTATGCAATTAACCAAGTATTTGTAACAAATTGTCCGCATTCCGCGAGCGAGTAGAAGACGCCACTTAGTTAAGAGAGATAATAGATAACAGGTCTTTGCACTGCCGCGCAGAGTTCCCACGAACTGTTTTCGCCATTGTGTTGTATTAAGTTTTATTTATATATTTTTAGTACAACAACATGATAAAGAATTCAAATACTTTAATTACAGCCTACAAAAGGCGATGTTAATAGTTT